AATACCCACCTATCGAGACATTGCGCCAGGCTGAAACGCCCAATTTGTTCCACTTGTCATCAAGATTTTTCCAAGTTGACTTTCTTACGGCGACATATTGCCGCCGTCCACAGCACGAGGAAACGACCTCGTCTCCCTTGCACGGTCCCTTGGTGCGAGAAAACCTACCAAAACAAGGATAGTCTTTCGCACCACGTGAAAACTAACCATTCCCAAAATCCCGTCAGATTTGCATGCACACTTTGCGGGAAGTATACAATGTATACAATGTATACTTTGTATACAATGGAACCAAATTATAATGCTGCCGTTTTAAATTTGGCCTGTTTAGACAAAAATTGTTGCCTTGGAATGCTTGGAAATCGCTGGACAAAATATATTCACTGTTTTGTTCTCCTTTCAAGAATTAAATTATCAATTTTTGGTATTGCTGGATAATTTAAGTATCAATTTATGTTATTGCCTGACGCGTTCGAAAAAAAATTATGAATTAAGCTTCGAAGCATAAATTTAACGAGTGATTTCACCTAAATTTAATAGTGTTTCATGCAGTTGAGAAATGAGGTTAGGTTCTGACGTGCATTTCATGGTATCATACATTAATAATTTCCATAAGGGTTAAAGTTTATACTGGAACTTTCCTGCAGTAAATTTTTCAATCATTCCTTCTTCAGCTACGAGCTGTGGATGAAAAATTGTGGATGGGTCCCTTAAGGGCGAAATGTTGGTTATTTTTATCCAGGAATTTATCAAGTTTGAACCCTTTTTCTGGTTCAAGAATGCAACCTTTTTCACACCACACTAATTAACATTTCCTTTACGCGTTCGCTTCTTCTTCAGCGAATGTAACTCATGCTTAAGCAACCCTGCACTACATCGGATATTTAACAAATCCAAATACAACAAATACTAAACAAAATTGCTGAAAATTTGTTAGATGTTCTTCAGTCCTTTCAAAACGTGTGAAGTGTTGAGAAATTACTGCTAAAACAATATATAAATTAACGAATTGTTTCTTACGTACACCAAATTAAATTTGTTTGAGCACATCAAATATTTCGAAACCAAGTCCACAAACGCAACAAATACCGAGTCCACATGGATCTTCAACCACGAAAGAAATGGGAATGTTCCAAGTGCTCAAAAACGTTTAAAACCAACCGCCAGTTGACTAGACACATGGTCACGCACGATCCCAATGCCCAGGTCAAATGCGAGGTGAGGGTGCAAATTGTCAAACGTTTTACTCATTTTACAATCGATTCATCCTTTGATTAGGTTTGCGGTAAAAAATCCAAAAACAAAGTCGCCTTATCTTCCCACGTGTCGAAAGTTCACACCGACCGGAAGCGGCCAAGTTGTGACACGTGACATCGAGTATTTTTCGATCCTCCCAGTTTACGATATCACATGGCCACCGTCCACAGCACGAAAGAACGACCTCATTTCCCATGCCGAGTATCCAGATGTGAGAAAACCTACCAAAACAAGTGTAGTCTTCGGCAACACGTGCGAACTGAACATGCCGAGAATCCGATCCGATTTCCGTGCACACTTTGCGGAAAGGAATTTAAAACCAGGTTTGAGCTTGGGCAACACATTCCCAGCCACACGACGGAAAAGCCGTACAATTGCGCCACGTGTGGGAAGAGTTTCGCCAAGAAGGGCACCATGAAGCGTCACGAGGTAAACGAGCATGTCGCGTGAGTGTGGAGGTGAAACTACCAATTTGCATATTTGCCTTACAGATGACGCATTTGGACAAATCTACCCGAGACGTGTTAAAGTGTCACGTCTGTCCACAGACCTTCTTATCTAGACTTGGTCTACAACTCCACATCCGAATTGTTCATGAAAATCAGAAAGATCATCCGTGTGCATTTTGTGGCAAGAGATTCTGTAACTCGTCGGATTTAAGGGGTCACGTGGAGGCGAGACATGTAGTTTCTAGGAATTCCCAATTTTTGTAAAAGTTCAACTGTGTGCGAATGACGAATACATTTGAAACGACATACTCTTACAATTCACAATTTCCCACTTTCATCTTCCCCAGATTTGCGGCATAATTTCCAAAAACAGTTACACGCTAGTTGACCACATGAGGAGCATTCACAGCGACAGGAAGCGACCACGTTGTGACACTTGTCACCACGTGTTTTCAACCTTTGTCACCTTGCAGCGGCATATTGACACAGTCCACAGCGCGAAGGAACGACCTCGTCTCCCATGCACGGTCCCCGGCTGTGACAAAACCTACCTAAACAAGTTAAGTGTTGCGAGACACGTAAAAGCTGAACATTCCGAGAATCCGGTCCGATTTCGGTGCACACTTTGTGGAAAGGACTTCAAGACGAGGTATGAACTAGAGCAGCACATTCCCACCCACACGACGGAGAAGCCGCACAATTGTGCCACTTGTGGGAGGGGTTTCGCCCAAAAGGGACACATGAAAAGTCACGAGGTAAAAAAGCACGTTGTGGGAAAAACTAGGTGAAAAATTACCATCGTTCGTGTTAACTTTACAGATGACGCATTTGCAAAAATCTACCCGAGACATGTTGGGGTGTCACCTCTGTCCGATAACCTTCTCACGTGGGGACAGTCTACAACATCACGTCCGAGTTGAGCATGAAAATCGGAGGGATTATCCGTGCTCATTTTGTGACAAGAGATTCTTAAGGTCAACACACTTGAAGTGTCACGTGGAGGCGAAACATGCCACGAGTAAGGAGCAGATACATGCCTGCGACAATTGCGAGTACAGGACCCACGCTAAATTCTATTTAACCGCTCACAAAATACGGCACAATGCGGCCAAGCATGAATGCTACTTCTGTGGGAGGAAACTTGCCACGTTTGGCAATTTGGTGCGACACTTTAGTCGCACGCATACGTTGGAAAAGTGAAAATTTTGTAGGTTTGTCCTTTGGCTCAGTTTTTCTCAAGTACTCCGATGGATAGCGCATCAAAATCTCCAATCGCACTCAAACTTTTTATACTAATTCTGTATGGGATAAAAAATATTACCCTAAACCCATTTTTCGAAATTTCAATTTTTGGCGAAATTATGGCAAATTTTCAATTTCGTTTTTTTGATTTTTTCTCTCAAATTGCGAATAAACCATTCACCAAAACTATATACTGTCCTGTATCATTGTATTCCTATTTTCATCAGGATCTAATTTATGCATCAAAATATTTCAATTTTTTGAAATTTGTAAAAAGATAGTGCTAAATTCTGCTAAATTGATGATCAATTTGCGCAAAACGTTTTCATTTCCCGAGGTCAAATTTCTGAAAATAGATGCCTTTGACTTTGTAGAATAGGGTATAAAAAAATTGACATCGGGAATTGAAAACGTTTTTTAAAATTCAAATTTCAAAAAATCAGAAAACTTATAACAGGCTCTTACAATGTATACAAAAAGCTAGAAGCCTAAATGGCAGGAAATTAAGTGTCGTAAGCCAGTTACATGAAAATTTGAAAAATAAAAATTATCAAATTTTGATTAAACTTGAAAAGCATGCTCAAAATAATATTTATTTGGTTTTAAAATTATTTAAATTTTAATCCCAAAAATTGGTTTGCGGGCGTACGGAATTACGCCACTGGGAGAGTTGAGCTGTCTCATCTACCCCATGACTTCGATTTTTAGAGAGTGCTTGAGAAAAACTGAGCCCTCTACCATTGGGTGCGACACTTTAAAGTTTTTAAAATAACTTTTATAATTTTGTAATGCGTTTTTGTAATAATTATTTATAAAAAACCGTTCTTATTAAAGTAGTAGATAATATATAAAAATATGTAGCCAACAATGGGTACAATTGTCCTATTTTATTTGGTAAGGTGTTAGGAGTGTTCGGAAATCTGGGTATTGGAAGTTTCGGTCTGCAGAAGTTTTGGTCTCGGAAATATGGGTAGCGGTATATTTGGGTATGTAGAATTTTAGGTATGGGAAATAACCCAAATATAACCCAAATATACCCCTACCAATATTTCCGAGACCAAAATTTCTGCAGACCGAAACTTCCAATACCCAGATTTCCGGGAAACGGTGTTGATTCCCGCAAAGGAAGACGACTTTTATGGTTACTTTTCATGTACATAAAATCGGATCGACTTAACGCCTTCTCTGCTTTAGCATTTGTATACAATGGAACCACATTATGATGTTGCCGTTTAAAATTTGGACAATTTAGACAAAAATTGCTGCCTAAGAATAATTGGAAATAGCTGGACAAAAAATTCACTGTTTTGTTCTTCTTTGAATAATTAAATTATCACATTGTGTGCAATTTATTTATGGTATTGCCAGGCTCATAATGCGTCACGCATTCGAAAGAATTGTGGACTAAGCTTGGAAGTTATCTAATCATAAATTTTACGAGTGATTTCGCCTAAATTTAAAAATTTTCGTGCCGTTAAGAAATGAGGTTGACTGCCAGTTTCTGACGTGTATTTCATGGTATCGTACATTAATAATTTCGATAAGGTTTATTAAGGTTGACGCTGGAACTTTCTTACAGTATATTTTTCAATCATTCATTCCTCAGCTACGAGCCTTTGGCTGTAGATAAAGAATTGTGGATGGGTCCTTAATGGGCGAAGTGTTTGTTATTTTTATTCCGGAATTTGTCAAGTTTTAACGCCTTTCTCTGTTTCAAGATTCTTGAAACAGAGAAAGGTTGCATTCTTGAATCAAGAATGCAACCTTTTTCTCACCACACGAACTAACATTTACGCGTTCACTTCTTTCTCAGCGAATGAATGTAACTCCTGCATCCTGCACCACATCGGATAATAAACGATATTTAACAAATCTAAATACAACAAAACTTATTTCGTGTTGGTATTTAAAATATTAAAATCTAGCCGAAAAGTTGTTACCAGAGTCCGGATAAATATACGTCAATATAAGGTGCTTAGCACTTGTGGGGAATTTGAGATTTTTCGTGACGTTATGGGGGGGGTGGGTAGCTCGATGCGTCACACAAGCGTTACAAGGGAGAGAGGGTGGGGTAAAAATATGCGATTTTAGCGTTACGTAGTTTATGAACGGCCCCTAAAATACGTGAATTGTTGGGAAATTATTATACCACGCTTACCCAGTCTCAAATCTGTCCGGTATATTTACACTTGTGCGCGAGATTTGCAAACTACACTCATTTGCAGTTGCAAATCGTTCTCTTTTTAAAAATAAGTTCGGCTGGTGAATTATTTGAGGGGAAGGAATTGACTACTTCCGATAGAAACTTTGACACGTTCTTATTAAAGGGTAAGCTTAAATTTATTTCTTCTTTCCGTTTTATCTTTTGCTACGTATTATATTAATTAATAGGGAGGATTTTTAAACCACCAATTTCGTTGTATTGTCTGATTTGTATTAATTAAATTGTTTTATATTTAGCGAGATCATCAACTTACATAGCCAATTCCTAGTTCCGTTCGTGAATATGGGATTCCGGATAATTTTAGGTTGGTGAATACATTTACAAATCCGAATGATAATTAAAATTAAAATTAGACGTGTATAGATATTCTAAAATTTCAACTAATTCACAACTTGCTTATTACTTATTTCAGTCGGATATTTCCTATCGAATTAGGAGGTAAGATAACTTTAACTTCAAAAACATATGAAAATAACTGCCTCAATGTTTGAATTGTTTACACAATTTATTTTTTAAATTACTTGGACTTTTAGATTCAGTCAGCTCAACATTATGGTGCGTAAGCCAGTTTTATAATTAAGTTATTCCACTATAGCTTTAACGGTTAAAGTTTGACCCTTTCTTAACCATAAATATTACACCTGGTCTTAAATTTATCTATCGGAAACGAACAGGTTGAATTTGGTTTAAAGTCGGGAAGCTCAGTCAGATTCCCTACTCTTAAAGAAAACTAATTAGTGCGGCATACAATTTTTTGACAACGAACTCACCAAATATCGGATCCACATTGAAATGAAGCCAGGAAAGAAAAGGGAATGTTCAAAGTGTTCGAAAACGTATCAAAGTAAAAAAGCGTTGAGAAGACACTTGGTCACGCACGATCCAGACGCCAAGGTCAAATGTGAGGTGAGCGTATAAAAAATACACTTGAAACTAATCTTACAGTCGCCAATTTCCCTCTTTTAATTATCTTCCCCAGATTTGCGGCATAATTTCCAACACCAGGTTCACCTTAGCTGCCCACATGAAGAGTACTCACAGTAGCCGACCAAGTTGTGACACTTGTCACCGCGAGTTTTCAGCCGTTAGCTCCTTACAGCGGCATATTGACACCGTCTACAGCGCGAAGGAACGACCTCGTCTCCCATGTACGTTTCCCGGCTGTGAGAAAACCTACCTAAGCAATGATAAACTTTCAAAACACGCTAAAACTGAACATTCCGAGAATCCGGTCCGATTTCCGCGCAGACTTTGCGGAAAGGAGTTCAAAACCAGGGTTGACCTTACCCAGCATATTCCCACCCATACGACGGAAAAGCCGTACACTTGCGCCACTTGTGGGAGGAGTTTCGCCCAAAAGGGAGCAATGACAAGTCATGAGGTAAATTAGCATGTTGTGGGAAAAAATAAGTTCAAATCACACATATTCATTTGCAGAAGACGCATGTGGAAAAGTCTGGCCGAGACAAGTTCCACTGTCAGGTCTGTCCATAGACCTTTGTAAGTAGACGTGGCCTTCTTCTCCACACCGGATATGTGCATGAAAATCAGAGGAATCATCCGTGCAAATTGTGTGACCAGAGATTCAGAAATTCAGGAAATTTGAAGCGTCACGTGGAGGCGAAGCACCCCACAAATGAAGCGCTGATCCATTCCTGCGACAAATGCGAGTACAAGAGCCACTCGAAAAACAACTTGGCCTCTCATAGATTGCGCCACAATGCAGCGAGGCATGGATGCTACTTCTGTGGGAAGAAATTCTTCCTTTTTAACGAATTGGTTCAACATTGTCGAGCTCATACTCTAGAAAAGTTAAAATACTGATGATGGGTGTATCAATAATTTGCCAGTTTTCGACATTTTGCAAACCTTCTTATGTGGAAAACTACATATATGATTTTAGTTTCAAATTTAAATTGTAAGAGACTCGCATTCCGAAAGTTGTTGTTTCCAATCATGTTGATCCCTTCATGCTGAAATTCCGCTTTTAAAATAAAATTTGCATATTTTTCATGCAAAATTTTAGATTACCGTAATTTGTGCACGCCAAGGACAGAATCGTCGGAAAGACCCATATCACTCCCGCCCCACTAGCATATTAGCTGCATAATAAAATTGGTTTGAGGTCAATATCTGTAATATTGAGACCTAGAACGTTACCCCAATAAATTAAATCGTAGCTCACTAAAATTGACTTATCTCAAGTAGTACTGGTTCAATACACTAGACTGAATTTGGCATATGAAGCCAAATAATTTGCCATTAAGTACATAAAATCAGAATAATTCTATCACTTCATTCAGCTTAGAAAATCAGGTTGGAAGTTGGGGTAAAAATTTGTTGCTAAGTTCGTCATCCTACCCTTAACAAATACATATGAACTGAGGGAGTACTCACGAAAACGTCTTGTTTCGCGTCGCAGCTTATTTAACAAATTCGCGAAGATAAAAACTTTGTGTTTCAAAGAAATTACAGAATGCATTTAATATTTTTTGAATTTTATTCGAGGGTTCAGGCTTTCATCGATACTTCAAATTAGTTGAAGTACTCGTAACTTCCCTCGGTTCCCAAGAAAGGAGAAAGGCGGGGTCTGACGTGGTCAATTTCAACATATTAGCATGCAAAAATATCAGTATCCAGCTCTTCGAAAGTTTCCAAGGTATACGCACCGCCTTTTTTGACTTTTCGAAAGAGTTTATTTTTGCACGAAAAGAATTTTCAAACCATTTTCTGTCACGCGCTAGCCAGGTGGTTGATAAATTCAAAATTTTTCGCACCACATGATCAATTACGCGCTAGGCTCCCTTGTAACATATCAATCATAAGAAAGCAATCCTAAATACATACTTATATAGAAAATTTTAATGACACGTATATAAATAAGATTTAATTATACCTTAAAAATTGTAAGCATATTAACATTTGAAATTGATCCCGCAATAAATACGTGTTAAAATATTCACACGGCAGCGCTAGTCCAAGAAAATCTCTCGAGTGGATTTTTTTTAAATATAAAGTTATTGTAAATTTGTTATCATGTAATAATTTTTCATAAAAATGCTATGACTGAATGCCAAATTTATGCAATACGTAAGCTAAGTCAAAGACAGTGTGTGAAAAAAGGCATCCTTTTTGCTATTTTTTCATGCCTTTTTGTCTTTTTCAATGCCCTTTTGCCTTATTGCGTACCTTTTTGTTTTTTGATGCCTTTTGCCTGTTTCATGCATTCTTGCTCGATTTTTGAGGATTGCACGCGATTTCTTGTCGTTTATAAGTTATAACGTATTCAAGAAATTACAGAATAAATTTAATATTTTAAAAATAGTATTGGAGGGTTCTGGCTTTCATCCATACTTCAAATTCGTTGAATAATTTTCCTTTTATATTTTCATGGTTATTTTTACATCGTCATCAGCTTAATTAATCAAATTTTTGGCTAAAGATCATATTTTGGGAAATAATAAAAAACGCTATGAATAACTTTCACTTTAATTTTATCTCAGGGTATTTGTCTCACCTCGCCCCAATTAGCGAAAGGGCAAAAATGCAAAGAGGCAGGCAAAAAGGCACTATTGCTCTGCACACACTGGTCAAAGGTCTTTCAGAAACTTCAAAATTAATCCCATGAATGAAATGTTGAATGAAGGGATAGTTATTTTTATCCTGGAATTCGTCAAGTTTGGAGTCGTTTGGTAACAAAATGCAACCTTTTTCACACCCAACGACACCACATTACCTTTCCTTGTTCATTTACATACCCCGTAGCAACAGTACTGATTAAGCAAAACTACATGCATATTCATTACGGTAGGAAACGACATTAAACACAGTGCCTTAAAAAGGTAACTGCTTAAATATTTTCAAAAATGTTATTTTTAATGGGAATATTATCATCGCTAAAAATTGTGTTTCATGCTCTGATTTTTTTAAAATGTGTGAATTGTTAGCAAACAAGATTTTGAATTATTTGGTGAAAATATTTATGCTATCTTTTTTTCAGAATAACTTTGTTTAAGCACATCAATTTTACGCAAATACAAGTCTACAAATACCGAATCCATATGGATCCTCCGAAGCCAGGAAATAAATGGGAATGCTCAAAGTGCTCGAAAACGTTTAAAACCAACAGTGAGCTGACTAGACACATCGTCACACACGACCCCTCTACCAAGGCCAAATGTGAAGTGAGCGTCTAAATTTGTCAAAGTCAAACTATCATAATATTATAATGATCTTTTTCATAATTTTACACTCCACATTTTTCCAATTACCGTATTTTCTAGGTTTGCGGCTCAATTTTCAAACACAGATTCACCTTGTCCCTGCACGTGTGGAGAGTTCACACCAACCGGAAGCGACCAAAATGTGACGCGTGTCACCGGGTGTTTTTCGATCTTCCCACTTTACGGCATCACATTGAGACAATCCACAGCACGAAGGATCGACCTCGTTTCTCATGTACGTTTCCTGGCTGTGAGAAAACCTACCTAAACCAGAAACAGATTTCGCACCACGTGAAAACTGCACATTCCGAGAATCCGGCCCGATTTCCGTGTATACTTTGCGGAAAGGAATTTAAAACCAGGTCTGAACTTAACCAACACATTCCCACCCGCACGACGGAGAAACCGTGCAATTGTGCCATTTGTGGGAGGGGTTTTCCCCGGATGGCAGAAATGAAACGTCACATGGTAAATCACCATGTACTAGGAAAAACTAGATAAAAAATTACCAATGTTCATATTAATTTTACAGATGACACATTTAGCAAAGTCTGACCGGGACGTGTTAAATTGTCACATCTGTCTTCGGACCTTCGTAAGCGGGGATGGGCTTAACCGGCACATTCGAGCTGTGCATGAAAAGCTGAAAAGTTATCCCTGGCTCAGTTTTTCTCAAGCACTCTCTAAAAATCGAAGTCATGGGGTAGATGAGACAGCTCAACTCTCCCAGTGGCGTAATTCCGTACGCCCGCAAACCAATTTTTGGGATTAAAATTTAAATAATTTTAAAACCAAATAAATATTATTTTGAGCATGCTTTTCAAGTTTAATCAAAATTTGATAATTTTTATTTTTCAAATTTTCATGTAACTGGCTTACGACACTTAATTTCCTGCCATTTAGGCTTCTAGCTTTTTGTATACATTGTAAGAGCCTGTTATAAGTTTTCTGATTTTTTGAAATTTGAATTTTAAAAAACGTTTTCAATTCCCGATGTCAATTTTTTTATACCCTATTCTACAAAGTCAAAGGCATCTATTTTCAGAAATTTGACCTCGGGAAATGAAAACGTTTTGCGCAAATTGATCATCAATTTAGCAGAATTTAGCACTATCTTTTTACAAATTTCAAAAAATTGAAATATTTTGATGCATAAATTAGATCCTGATGAAAATAGGAATACAATGATACAGGACAGTATATAGTTTTGGTGAATGGTTTATTCGCAATTTGAGAGAAAAAATCAAAAAAACGAAATTGAAAATTTGCCATAATTTCGCCAAAAATTGAAATTTCGAAAAATGGGTTTAGGGTAATATTTTTTATCCCATACAGAATTAGTATAAAAAGTTTGAGTGCGATTGGAGATTTTGATGCGCTATCCATCGGAGTACTTGAGAAAAACTGAGCCCCCTGTGCATTTTGCGAGAAGAGATTCTCATACTCATCGCACTTGATACGCCATGTGGGGACAAAACATGCCACGAATCGAGAGCTCATCCATTCCTGCGACAAGTGCGAGTACAGGAGTCACTCGAAGCACAATTTGGCCACTCATAAAACGCGTCACATTTCCACGAGGCATGTATGTTACTTCTGTGGCAAGAAATTCCTCACTTTTGTTCAATTGGTGAGCCATTGTGGAGTTCATACTCTGGAGAAGTATTTATAAAAACAACGGAACGAAAAATGCTGAAACAAGTATTTATTATTTATCTAATTGTAGAGGCCTTAAATGATTGCCGTATTAATTTGCGAATTTTTACTAAATAAATATGCCATATTTTTGGAAAATGTTCTTGTGTAAAAGACCTGTAGCATTTTAGCTACAAATTCACCCTGATATGTCCTTATTTCGTTAGAAGATTTCGCCAACCGTCTTGCTAAATATCAAAAAATAAATATGTAAACATACCTATATACGTACAGAGGCCCACAGCAAGAGAGTTTTCCCAGAACCGACACTGCCAATGCGCAGGTTTGGCGGAGATATTTGCGTCCAAAGCGGAGAAAACAAAACCCCAAGGCTGGCAAATTTTGCACTTTACAAATTTGCTGCGCATTTTTCCCGCCTTGGATGCAAATATCTCCCCCAGACCTGCGCATTGGCAGATAGTGCTATTTGCGAATTTCATACTAGTTATATTTGTGATCGATTGACGCTACTTTGGTCAAAATCTGTGAGCGTACGTTGGGAGACCTCCATTGTGATTTATATACATACATGTTTCCAATTCAAACTAGAAGAAGCTATGTAAGTATGACTCACGTGGTGTGAATAATCAACTAACCAAATAAGATACCACTTTGAATGAATTTATCTCTGTTGACCAGTGAATTAAGGATTAGCCATAGTTTCCAACCTCAAATAAAATTAACTGGTGCGGCAATAACAATAATAATAATAGCAATAACAATTTTCTTGACTACAAACTCAGCAAAAGTTGGATCCACATCGACCTGAAGCCAGGAAAGAGATGGGAATGTTCAAAGTGTTCGAAAACTTTTAAAACCAACAAGGCGTTGAGTAGACACTTCGTTACGCACGATCCCGACGTCATTGTCGAATTTATACTTTAGAAAAGTTAAAATATTTATGCTCGTGATATTTATATTAAAAAATTTCGTATTTTTACTAAATTTACGACATTTCGCAAAATTGTTTTGCAGGAGATTGAATAATTTCAAAGCCAAAATAAAAATAAGCGGTGTCAAACAATAAAGTAATTTCGGCTCAATCGGCTATTGTAATCGCGGATCAAGTATAACAAATGGCACATTAACCTGAAATCCTATACAACACTTGCATAAGGCATGTCTTGTAGGTATAAGATTCTGCAGCTGAAGCTCACGTCGTTCGTGGAAGCGTTTTTTGCAAGCTATCGTGCTTGTCGTGAACCGGTACCATTTTATCTTGGTCATCGATAGTGTGTGTGTATTTATATAATAAATCTGGTGTACACCTGATAACCATATTCTCTAAATAAATTCTAAAATCGAAAAAAAACATGCTTAAATCAAAAAGCTTTCAATAATTTTTACCAACAGACTACATAAATCAACTTACATATGTATATTGGCATGACAATTTCTTCGGTACGTAAGATATATTCTCTTCGACTTTTTTACAATGGGTAATCTTGACTTTTAGCGGTTTTACTCACAACAGAACGTTTTTTGCAGCTAAAATTTTTGTTTAACGAGCCATTCAATGGAAACACGAATGCCACGTGATTCTTATTTTTTGGCTCGATTTTATAACATAACTCGCTCGACAATTCCGATGCAGCTTGAAAAAAGGTTCCATTGTCAGGATAAGTTCAAAATTAATCGCATGATTTATGTAAAATTTAGTATGATTGATCCCAAGAGGAGAAGGGCTGGTTATTTTTAATAAGAAATGTGTCAACCTTTTACCCGTGGCTACGGTTAAAAATAAAAAAACCCAACCTTTTTCATACTACGTGAACCAACGTTTGCCTTACGTAAATATGCACTTACTCGTAAGCAGCACCTCCACAAGTGAAATTCAGATTCCCCAACTTTAAATAAAACTATTTGATGGAAACATTTTTTGAGGTTAAGAACTCCACAAATACCGCATTCACACAAATATGAAGCCAGGAAAGAGATGGGAATGTTCCAAGTGCTCAAAAACGTTTCACACTTGTCAGGATTTGACGAGACACGTGGTCACGCACGATCCTCATGCCAAGGTCAAATGCGAGGTGAGTGTATCAAGTTTAACTTATGTTGCAATTCATGCTTTATCAAGTGTGTTATCAAGGTTTGCGGCAAATTTTGCAAAAATCAACACGCTTTATCCTTACACGTGTCGAGACTTCACACTAACCGGAAGCGGCCAAGTTGTGACACGTGTCACCGCGTGTTTTTCGATCTTTTCACTTTACGGCAGCATATTGGCACCGTCCACAGCACGAAGGAACGACCTCGTTTAGCATGTGGAGTTTCAGGATGTGCGAAAACCTACCTGGACAAGCGAAGTCTAGGCCAACACTTGAGAAAAGAGCATGCCGAGAATCCGGTCCGATTTCCGTGCACACTTTGCGGAATGGACTTCAAATCCAGAACTGAACTTACCCAACACATTCCCACCCACACGACGGAAAAGCCGTACAAATGTACCACTTGTGGGAAGAGTTTCGCCCGCAGAGGAGACATGAAAAGTCACGAGGTAAGGAAGCATGTGGCGGGAAAGAGGAGATCAAAACTTACCAGCTTGCATATTTATTTTATAGATTACGCACTTGCAGAAATCTAGAAGACACGTGTCAAAATGTCACGTCTGTCCTCAGACCTTCTTCAGTAGGCATGGACTGCAATACCACGTCAGAGTTGTGCATGAAAATCAGAGGAATTATCCGTGTACATTTTGTGACATGAAATTCTCCCAGTCTTTGACTTTGAAGCGTCACGTGGAGGCGAAACATGCCGCGAATAAAGATCTGAAGATATATTCCTGCGAAAAGTGCGAGTTCAAGAGCAAGTCGAAAAATAATTTGGCGAGTCATAGAATGCGTCACAATCCAGCGCGGATTGGATGCTACTTCTGTGCGAAGAGATTCTTCCGGTTTAACGAATTGGTCCCACATTGTCGAGTTCATACTTTAGAAAAGTAAAAATATTTATGTATATTCGTAATTGGGATATTAAAAATTGACATTTTTACTAAATTAGCGACGTTTTTCAAGATGTTTTTGCACGAAATCGAATAATTTGTAAGCCGAAATAAAAATAACTGCTATCAAACAATAAAATAATTCGGCTATTGTAATATTCTATTCTAATATTCTAATATTCTAATATTCTATCTATTGTAATCAATTATAATAAATGGTACAGTAATCTGAAATCCTACACGCAGGGCATGTGTCTTATGTATAAAATTCTGCAGGTGCGGCCCACGTCGGTCGTGGACGCATTTTTTACACGTGCTTGCCCCGAACCGGGTCTCACACCATTTTATCTTGGTCATCGATAGTGAGTATACAATAAGTCTGGTGAGCATATTATCTAAATAAATTTCTAAAATCGATGAAATATACTTAAACCGAAAGGTTTCAATAATTTTTACTATGTAACAGACTAAATACCCTTTTTAATTTGTAAAATATTAATGATAGCAATTTTAAAACTTTGCACGGCATCTCTTCATTTTTTCGATACGTGAGATTTATTTTCTTCGAGATTTTTTAGCATGAATAATCTTGACTTTTAGCGGTTTTACTCACAACAGACCGTTTTTTTGCAGCCAATATTGTGGTTTAAAGAGCCATTCAATGGAAAGATGAGTGCGACGTGATTCTTATTTTTTGGCTCAATTTTATAACATAACTCGCTAGACAATCCCGATGCAGCTTGCAAAAAGGTTCCATTGTTAGTAGAGGCTCAAAATTAATTGCATAATTTATTTAAAATTTAGCATGAATGGTCCCCAGGGTAGAAGAACTGGTTATTTTAAACCAGTAATGTGTCAACCTTTCTCCCGTGGCTAAAAATAGAAGACGCAACCTTTTTCACACCACATGAACGGTTCATGATGAACCAACGTTTGCCTTACGTAAATATGCATAAACTCCTAACTTAGGAGTCCTAAGCAGCATCACCATAAGTTATCCTACACAATACACGGTAAGAATAACTAAATAGTAACAAGTGCACTTGTAGTCATCATAAATTAGAGATGCCAGTAAGCCGGCTTATTGAGGAGTAGAAGGTCACTACTTGTCGGGCCCCGATTTCGATCTCCTTTGGATATGTTGTAGTACTGCATGAGTGTAGAAAAAGTGAAGGAGGGTTAGACTCCATGAGCCCATTTACGCCCGCCACACCCCCTCAAGGCGACCAAACCCCCAGAGTTGCCGCACTAAAATCATCGCCAAAAATCGAGTTTTGGTCAGATTTTCAAGAAATTTACATTTTTGTGATCCCAGATAGTTGCTCTATCATATCCAATAGCAAACTCAACTTTTTTGAAATTTTCAATATTTTCGAAGATTTTCTGACCAAGGGTATGTATTGAAAAAATTCGAAATTTCAAAAAAGTTGAGTTTGCTATTGGATATGATAGAGCAACTATCTGGGATCACAAAAATGTAAATTTCTTGAAAATCTGACCAAAACTCGATTTTTGGCGATGATTTTAGTGCGGCAACTCTGGGGGTTTGGGCGCCTTTGAGGGGGTGTGGCGGGCGTAAATGGGCTCATGGAGTCTAACCCTCCTTCACTTTTTCTACACTCATGTAGTACTACAACATATCCAAAGGAGATCGAAATCGGGGCCCGACAAGTAGTGACCTTCTACTCCTGAGTTGTGAGTCAAAACAAGCCGGCTTATTGAGTTGTGAGTCGAAGCAAGCCGAGTCAGAAGCAAGCCGGCTTGCTTCGACTCACAACTCAATAAGCCGGCTTGGCTTGACTCGACTCATTAAGCCGAATGAGTCGAGTTTGCTTATGGACATACATTCTGGTTTAAGTAAATGGACATTTAATAATTATATAACAACCAAAATAACATTTAGAAAAATTTAAGGTGACTTTTAAAATGTCAAAAATCCAGATAAAATCAATAATAAACGTACACGTACTAATATCAATTTATAATAAACTCCACAATTATATACATATGTATGTAAATATAGTAATTTGTGCGATTAAATGCAGCAAGTGTAAACTGAAACTGCAATTTGATCAATTGTCACAGTTAACAATAAATATTTCCTTATTCAATTACAGAATACTATACAGTAAAATAAACTCAGTAAATTTACATATTAAAATTTTTTGTTTAAAGATTTATGAAAATTCAACAGCTGAGTTTATATTAGATTTTCAAGATCCGTCTCAATTTTAAATTTTTGATATAGTGAAACACAAAATGGAATAATAATTTAGGTAATAATTTAAACAAAAATAACATGTCATTGACATGATGTCAATACAAGTGGAGCGGAGTAAATAGGTCCTCTCCGGGGGAGTCCCGCCAACTCTCTGTCCCCTCTTTTATGGAGCTTCACTCACTGCCCTGAAGAAGAAGTCGGGCGGGATTCGGCCCATCGCTGTGGGGAATACATGGCGGCGCTTGGCCGCGAAGATCATTGTGGGAAGGATTACCCCTCAGTTAATCAAGCATTTTTCACCCCACCAACTGGGGGTGGGAATCAAGGGAGGAGCGGAAATCGGCGCCCACGCCGCCCGAATCTACTACGGCCACACCCACACTTCCCCCAAAGCGTTCCTGAAAATCGATTTTCGGAACGCCTTCAACGAAATACGGCGGGACACGCTACTCCACGCCGTCCGCGACCACTTCCCCTCAATCTTCCCATTTGTGGCGCAATGCTACGAAAGCCCCTCGTCATTTTTCGATGGGACCATCCCCATCCCCTCCCTACTTGGGTGCCATCAGGGGGACCCCTTAGGCCCCGCCCTCTTCTCCCTCGTGATCCACCCCATCGTCGAATCAATGGAAACGGAGCTAAACTTATGGTACCTCGACGATGGGGCCATTGGGGACACGCCGGAAAAGGTTTTGGAGGCCCTAGCAACGGTCGCTAGGATGAGTGGTGAGGTGGGCCTTCACCTCAACCACGACAAGTGTGAAGTGGGGATTCTGGGGGCGGAGCGGGAGGCCGCCATCGGCATTCTCCTCCAATTCCAACAAGTTGCCCCCGGAATCCAGCTCATGTCCCCCGATTCTGCGATGCTGCTGGGCGCCCCCCTTACTAACGAGGCGTTGGGAGTGGTCTTGGCCACGAAGACCCAACAATTGGCCACCTTCTCCCATAGACTCCTCAACCTTTCGGCGCATTCGGCCTTTTTCCTCCTGAGGGCGTCTCCATCCCCCGGCTGATTTACTTTCTCCGTTGCGCACCATCGTGGAGAAAGTTGGACGCCCTCGTCCACTACGACGCCACGCTAAAGGACGCCCTGGAGGGGATCCTCAACTGTACTCTCTCGGAGGCTGCTTGGATGCAGTCCTCCCTCCCCGTGAAGGAAGGCGGCCTGGAGGTCAGGCACGCTGTGGATGTGGCGATACCGTGCTTTTTAGCGTCGGTCCACAGCGTCCTGCCCCACGTAGAACGTCTCCTTCCGGACCACCTCCATGGCACCGACATCGCCATGGCAGAGGGAGTGCAGCGGTGGACCGACCTCGGCCTTACGGACCTCCCACCTGAAACCGTCAGAGGGATTCAGTCGGCTTGGGAACGCCCCATACTGGACGACACACTGTCCAAACTCTCGGATTTGGCAGTGATCCCGGAGGATACTGCCCGCCTACGCTCCCTCCGCGACAAATATGCGGGGGTATGGCTCAACGCCCTCCCCTCTCCACAACTGGGGACCCTTCTCCCCAACGAGACCTTCCGGGTCGCGATCGCCCTCCGCCTAGGCTGCGACATCTGCGAGCCGCACAAGTGCCCATGCGGGGCGCAGGTCACTTCCCGCGGCTACCACGGCCTCTCCTGCCGCCGAAGTAAGGGCCGTTGGTCCCGCCATGAGGCCGCCAACGACGTCATTGCAAGAGCCCTCCGGTCTGCCGAAGTACCCTGCATCAGGGAGCCCGCGGAGTGCTCCACCACGGACGGCAAGCGTCCCGACGGGATGACACTTGTCCCTTGGTCGCGGGGGAGGTCCCTTGTCTGGGACTTCACCTGCGCGGACACATTCGCCCCCAGCTACCTCCCAGACACCGTGCGCCATCAGGGCGCTGCCGCCAGCAAGGCAGAGGACCGCAAGAGGAAGAGGTACGCGTTCCTCATGGACCGATACATCTTTGTTCCCGTTGCCATGGAGACCACAGGAGTATGGGGGCAGGAAGGACTTGCCTTCATCCTCCAAGTTGGTCAACGGATCACCGCCACAACTGGACAAGCCAACGCCGTCAACTTTTTGCGCCAGCGGGTTTCCCTCGCTGCTCAACGTGGGAACGTTGCTTCGATTCTGGGTACACTTCCTCCAGGAAAGGAACTGGAGGAAGTGTACTATTTGTAGTCCGCTCTCTCTCTCTCTTATTCTTACGGACTTTTTCTACGATTTTCTGCGTTTTTTTAGGATTTTTCAGCGATTTCTGCGTTTTTTTTAAGTTTAGGGACTTATTTGTGCGACTGCTGCGTAGTCAGATTTTTCGATACTTTTTGTGATACATATTTTTTTCACACATACTCTGCGATACACTTTATACTAAGATTTAATAAAGAAACTTTTTAATATGTCTGTACATACATGTGTAAGCAGGAGGAGGCGGAGCGAGCGGCTTATTGAGTCAATTTGAGTCAAGCCAAGTCCAACTCATTCCAACTCACAACTCAATAAGCCGGCTTATTGAGTCGACGGCTTACTTGAGGTCAACTCAACTCAGCTTGACTCAACTCAACTCAATAAGCCGATTCAAGCCAAGCCGAGTTGGCAACTCTATCATAAATATTATTGCAAGTAAAATTACTGGAAATTTATTTCTTGTTCCTGAATCGTTATACAATGTGTTACATAATTGTTGCCAAAAATGTTTTAAACATTGATTGCACAAGTGAAAACGAGACATATTTTCGTAACCTTCTCAAATTGACTTTTCTCAGTAGATCAATTTTTGCAAAAATACACAAATCTTCAACAAATACAGAATCCACATGAATCTGAAACCAGGGAAGGAATGTCCCAAGTGCTCAAAAACGTTTACAACAAACAAAAACTTGACTCAGCACATGGTCACGCACGATCCCGATGCTCAGGTCAAACGCGAGGTGAGCGTGCAAATTTGTAAATTAATAATGGAAGTCTGCCAACGTATGCTAATCGATTTGGACCAAACTATTGAGTGTCACTCGGTAATATTTAAATACA